AGAACCTTTCCACTTAATATACTTAAAGGGTTTTTCTCAAACATACGTCCTCTTTGGCCGAAAACATATCTACACGTGTAATGATGAGATTATCACACGAGCCATTGGAAATAAAACTGCACACCCCACCAAATTTTAACAACTTACGTGGAAAATCTGTCATCCAATAGCGACAGTTCATTTGGCGTTCAATGTGCTTATCATGAAAGTTTGAAAAGGGGAACTTTACTTTGTATTACAGCTTTATGGGGTTAACCTTGATGGCATAAGAACCGTTCAGTGTGCTTATCTTGGGTTGTTTGGTCGGAGGCCTCCGTCGCTCTACCGTTACCTCAGCTTCCCTCTATTTTCTTTCTACGCCCGATTCTCTGCTGGACAGTGGATTTCTGTGAGCTTGTCGGACAGCGAGGGTGTTGAAATAATAATTGTTTCTTTTTTTGCACGTTTAGCTAATTTGTTTCTCAGTTGTCCTAGTCTTTAGTAGTCAGTGGAGTAATTAACTTATGCAGATCATGAGTTGTCATGGGTCCTATTTTGGTGGTGTTTCTATTATGTATTTACCTATTTAAAGGCTTCAAAGTTCTGAATGAGATATAAGATTCTGCCTCATCTCTCCTCTCCTGTAGATATTTTCATACCTAAGTTTTATTGTTCTCGATTCTACAATGGTATCAGAGCCTTGAGACCCTGAGAGTGAAAACACGTGAGGCAGCAATAAATTTCTTTCATCTTTTTTTTTATTTACCCAATGGCCACAGATTGCAATTTTGTGCAAGCAGCCATCCTACGCTTTGATGGTCACTATAACCATTGGAGCATGCTAATGGAGAATTTTTTACGGTCAAAGCAGTATTGGCCAGTTGTCGAATCTGGAATTTAAGAGCCACCAGTAGGCACAGCTTTGACAGATTCCCAGAAAGCAGAATTGGAAGCTAGAAAGCTAAGGACCTGAAGGCAAAAAATTATCTCTTTCAGGCTACTAATCGTCCCATTTTGGAAACTATTCTTTGCAAAGAAACTTCTAAGGATATTTGGGATTCTATGAATAAGAAATATCAAGGCTCTATTAGAGTGAAGCGTGCACAACTTCAAGTCTTGAGAAGGGATTTTAAGACATTAGCGATGAAGGATGGAGAATCTGTCACCAGCTATTATGCCAGAACAATGGAGATCAGCAACAAGATGCGATTCCATGGCGAGAAGATGGACAACGTCACCATTGTGGAAAAGATTTTGCGTTCCCTGACACCAAAGTTTAATTATGTTGTCTGCTCAATTGAAGAGTCGAAAGACATAGATGCACTTTCTCTTGATGAATTGCAAAGCTCCTTATTAGTCCATGAACATAAGATGAACAAAAGATCAACAGTAGAGGCGCAAGTGTTGAAGGCTTCTACCAACATTCATTCCAACAATTTCAGAGGAAGGGTAGAGGTAAAGGTAGAGGAAAGGGAGATCAAGGAAATAGAGATGTCAGAAGGAATTTCAAAGCCAATAATGACCAATCTCAAGGCAAAGGCAGAGGACGGGATCTTGACAAATCCAAGGTAGAGTGCTTTAGATGTCATAAATTTGGTCATTATGCATTTGAATGTTATACTAGACTGCCTAATGATAAAGAAAATGAAGAGAATTCAAATTTTGCCGAAAAGAAGAAACAAAAGCGTTGTTAATGGCTATTCAAGATGAAAAGAAACCCAAGTAAGATATTTGGTATGTGGATATAGACTGCAGTAACCACATAAGTGGAATTGTTCAGATGAGTTCAAATAGATTGTTTTCATTAAAGATTGAAAGTATTCAATCTTGTCTGATGGCTGAAATGAAAGATCCCTCATAGTTGTGGCATTTTTGCTATGGCCTCTTGAGTTTTGGTGAATTGAAGACCCTCCAACAGAAAAACATGGTGGTAGGTCTTCCTCAAATTACTACTCCTCCCAAGTCTGTGAAGAATGTGTTGTTAGCAAATAACATCGTTCTCAATTTCCCAAAGGGAAGTCATGGAGAGCAAAGGATGTTTTGCAGCTGGTCCATTCGGACATTTGTGGTCCAATAATCCCATCTTCTAATGGAGGTAAAAGATACTTAATTACCTTCATTGATGATTTTTCCAAAAAAACTAGGGTTTATTTTTTACAGGAAAAATCAGAAGCTTTCTCTACATTTAAAAGCTTCAAAGCTCGTGTGGAAAATAAAGTAAGAAATACCATTAAGACCTTTCAAACAGATCGTGGTGGCAAATATTGCTCAAAAGAATTTGAAATTTTTTGTACAGAGCATGGCATTCGAAGAGAGCTTACAGCCGCATATACACCACAACAAAATAGTGTATCTGAGAGGAAAAATAGAGCAATTCTCAACATGGTGAGAAGTTTGTTGGCAAGAGGAAGAGTTCCAAAGACTTTTTGTCCGAAAGCAGTAAATTGGAATATTCATGTTTTGAACAGAAGTCCAACTTTTGCTATTCAAAATATGACACCAGGAGAAGCTTGGAGTGAGAGAAGACTAGTTGTAGATCACTTCAGAATCTTTGGATGCATCAAGTATGCCTATGTCTCAGATGAGAAAAGGAAGAAACTTGATGACAAGGCCGAAAAATGTGTCTTTCTTGGTGTAAGTGAAGCATCCAAAGCATATAAATTATTCAATTCACTAACAAAGAAGATTGTGACCAATAAGGATGTTGTTTTTGAAGAGAATACTTGGGATTGGAATAGGCAGCAGCCTACCCAAGTCCTTTATGACAATGATGCTGAACAGGAGCAAATTTCAGCATCTTATATGCCCGAAAATTCATCAAATGCAACTTCTACAGCCGTCGAAACTTCACCAACAGTCGCTAAAGTCAATGAAGAAGAAGCTTAATCTTTTCGCCGTGTTAGAAGAAAGCCTGCTTGGATGGAAGATTATGAGGTAACTGGAATTGAAGATCCAATTACTCACTTTGCTTTATTTTCAGACTGTAACCCTATAACTTTTGAGAGTGTTGTCAAAGAAGAAAAATGGCGAAAAGCAATAGATGATGAAATTGATGCCATTGAAAGAAATGATACTTGGGAGCTATCAGATCTTCCGAATGGACACAAAACCATTGATGTAAAGTGGGTCTTCAAAACAAAGCTGAAAGAAAATGGTGAAATTGACAAGTACAAGGCACGCTTGGTTGTTTCTCCAGTTGCAAGACATCACACAATTAGATTGGTGGTTGCATTGGTGGCACAGAATTCTTGGCCTATTTTCCAGCTAGATGTCAAATTGGCATTCTTGCATGGGTACTTGGAGGAACAGGTATTTGTCGAACAACCCCCTAGTTATGTAAAAATTGGAAATGAGCATAAAGTTTATAAATTGAAGAAAGCCCTTTATGGGCTAAAGCAAGCCCCACGGGCTTGGTATAGTCGCAATGAGACTTATTTTCTTAAAGTTGGTTTTTTGAAATGTCCCTATGAACATACACTTTTTGTTAAGATTGGAGATAAAGGGAAAATGCTCATTGTCTGCTTGTATGTTGATGATCTTATATTTACTAGAAATTGTGATACCATGTTTGAAGAATTCAAAAAGTCTATGATGGATGAATTCGAAATGTCTGATCTTGGTATGATACATTACTTTCTTGGCATAGAAGTAGTATAATCGAGTGATGGGATCTTTATTTCTCAAAAGAAATATGTGGGAGAAATTTTGGACAGGTTTCAGATGAAGTATTGTCATCCTGTAAACACTCCAGTTGAGTTTGGCTTAAAGCTACACAAAGATCATGAAGGGAAGAAGGTTGACAGCACACTTTACAAACAAATTGTGGGCAGTTTGATGTATCTAACTGCAACAAGACCAGACATAATGTATTCTGTGAGTTTAATAAGTAGATATATGGAGAATCCTACAGAAATGCATTTGTTAGTTGCCAAGAGAATCCTTCGTTACTTGCAAGGAACAAAAGACTTTGGGTTATTTTACAAGAAGGGTGAAAAGTCCAATTTGCTGGGATTTACTGACAGTGATTATACAGGAGATCAAGATGATAGGAGGAGCCCTTCGAGTTATGTTTTTATGTTTGGGACAGGTGCTATTTCGTGGTCATCCAATAAGCAACCAATTGTCACTTTGTCAAGTACAAAAGCTGAATTTGTTGTTGCTACAACTTGTGCTTGTCAAGCTATTTGGCTAAGGAGAATTCTTGAGGAGCTGCAATTCAAGCAACCAGGAGCTACTAAAAATTTTCGTGACAATAACTCAGCAATCAAACTCTCCAAGAATCCTGTGCTACATGAAAGAAGCAAGCACATTGATGTGAAGTTTTATTTCTTGAGAGATATTAGCAATGATGGAACAATTGATCTAATCTACTGTAAGAGTGAAGATCAGGTTGCTGATATATTCACCAAGGCCCTCAAGATGGAGTCGTTCGTGAAGCTCATAAGGTTACTAGGTGTATGCACGCTGAAAACAGTCAAGGCTTTAAACTAAATGTTAGCAAACATCAGTTTAAGGGAGGGATTGTTGAAATAATAATTATTTCTTTTTCTACACGTTTAGCTTATTAGTTTCTCAGTTGTCCTAGTCTTTAGGAGTTAGTGGAGTACTTGATTTATGCAGATCATGGATTGTCATGGGTCCTATTTTAGTGGTGTTTCTGTTATGTATTTGCCTATTTAAAGGTTTCAAAGTTCTGAATGAGATATAAGATTCAGCCTCATCTCTCCTCTTTTGTAGATATTTTATACCTTTGTTTTGTTGTTCTCGATTCTACAGAGAGTACCTCAAAAAACATGTCTCAGATCAAAGATCTCGTTACTATACCTTTGTATCGTTTTATGGGGCCATCTCGTGAAGAGGCGATTGTTCTGCAAAGCTCTTGACTCAACGCAGATGGCGTGACACAAGATCAGAGAGGTGAACTCAGTTTGAATATACACTTAAGAGTTTGACTTCAAACTCGAAGATACTGTTTTGACATGATACCCGAAGAAGAGAAAAGAACCAAATGAGGATCACCTAATTACGTAACGCCCCCAACTATACATCGGTCTATGCGCAGGATCAAACCTGTGCTATAAAACTTGCATCATGACATATATACAACCTCTCTCTACCAAACCCAACTCACCAGAAAAAAAAAGAAAAAGAAAATACAGACCTCGATTTACAAAGACAATCTAGAGGCTCCTAGCCATCATTTCTTGGAAACTCCTGTCAGACTCCTGCTTCTCCAGGATGAACTTCTCGTGGCCCATCTCAATGAACATCTCAGCTATTTTGTCAATATTATTACTGATGTTATCATTACCATGACCAGAATCTTCAAAAAGCTTATCTTCCAACCACTGAAGGTACCTGGACAACTCTGTCTCTCCGGTAATTTCTTCCTTGCATTGATGGAGACCTTCGTACAAAGCCCTCGAACTGTTCCTTGCCGAATTGCAGTAGAAACGCCCGCTCGAGTAACAGCCGGCAAGAACAGGAGCCGGCACGGGCAAGACATGCGACCTCGAAGACCAGTTGAAGTAGAACCTGTACGAACCGCCATAGCCGTAGAGGCTTTTCTTCCTGTTGCGCTTGAGCCCAGGAAACTCGAGGGGGCGAACCACGAGGTGTCTTTTAGCCTTCACAATCGTGACCGCGAAGGACTTGGCCTTTGGTACGAGACTGCGGACGACCATCCTCAAGTACGGCAAGACGAGACCGCGCATGAGGGTGTCGATATTGATCAAGACTTTGGAGAGCGAAGCTTGCATCTTCACCATGATGTGCAGGTAAAGCTCTTTCCTCGCGAAGATCTCGAGCAGCGAGGGCTTCGCAATCGTAAGCCTCGGGAGGTGACCGAGGAGGGTCTGGAGCAGGGCTTTCATCTTCAAGGAGCTGGAGAGAGAAGGCGGGAGCTTCATGGAGAAACTGCGAAGGCGCAGAGAATGGAAAGCTTTGTGCCTCGGAGAAGCGGCCATTTTTAGCCTAGGGATCGGGGGCATCTTTCAGGCAAAAGCTGGTGCCTTTCTGGTTGTGTGTAGATACAAGTATCTCGAGTCGGGAGCAATGGATATATAGAGAGACGATCCTTCTTCTCGATTGATGAATGTATCCATCCAATTATTATAATAATGTAGGGAACGTGGAGAATTTAGCATCCAGGTCTAAAGCTAGCCAGTGACAAGAAGCAAATAAAGGGAAGAAGATGTATGTTTTTAACCAAATAATTAGGAATGCAAAACAAGGGAAACTGTTGTCTTGGTTGAATAAATCCCACTCCCTCGGTCACGGGAAATGTTATCCGTGAATATATAAATCACACGACTGGACACGTATATATGATAGATTAGCTTTAGTAATTTAAATTAGCATAGTAACAAGAGCGCTAAGAAAAACCATTTGCTCTTGAAAGTTCGAGGGTATTGAGAAATAGATCCAACATGTATCCTAAGCAAATTTTTTTTTGACGTGTTTGGATATTCTATTAATTTTGGGGGGGGGGGGGGGGTAAATTTAGGATGGACATTTATTTCTTTGAGAGGATGATACATCTAACACCCATACAAATAAAATGGCTGCGATTTATTTTCTACTTGCGAATTTCTCTGAGTTCAGGCTACCAACACAGATCAAAAGTCTGGAGATGGCAACGTGGGAGAGTTGAGGCATCGGGGGGAGAGAGAGACATGGAAATTTGGGGCTTTGTTTGCATGATTTTTAAAGTTTAGCGCTATTATGATGAAATTGTATAATTATGTAATATTTATTATTTGGTTCCCAGATATGCCAGTGATTCGGTTAAGTTAAATTAGTCCACTCTCTAAGTTTATAGATCTCCAATCCTTCCTTAAGACCCTGTCTCGTATGCAAGTCGAATTATATGTGAAAAACCCACATCAAACGGATCATCCGGAGCAGCAATATGTTTACACAATAACAAACAAATTTATTTTTTTTAGCAAAAAAAAAATAACAAACAAATTTATTTGAGCAAAAAACAAAAAATCACAAACAAAATGTCAAAAGGAGGAACATCGGCATTTGAACTCTTGGCCCGTATTGTAATATTAACATTAGACAACCTTCATTTCAAAAGTTTAAGCCGTAAAAAAAAAAAAGCGATTCTACAATATAATTGCTTAATATGAAAGCTGTGACAAAAAAAACCCTACGCTTTAAAATCCATTTAGAAGCAATCATAGAGTACGTAGGCCCATGTCGACGAAAGGATGTTGAAGTCATGCGATGAGTCTCTAACGTTTGTTTTTGACGAACCGTCCAAGTCACACGTTAATTTCCCAAATTAATTACATTTGGCTACGTAGACACGATTGATGTAGCCCCGTAACACTTGGAAAAAAGAGAGTCGTCGAATTTTGCAAATCCGACAACAAGAAAGGAGGGTTAAAGTTAATGATAAGATTTCCACGCACAAAACCTACGGACTGCCTCTATAATTTTATATATCAGGTCAACAAACAACAGGGTTTATTTTAATTTTTAGTAATTAAACAATTGGATATCTCTAATCCAAATTGCTTGTACAGAGTTTTATTTTAGGGCAAAAGTCACCAAAAATCCTAAACTATGCCAACTGTAATACATTTATCTTAAACTTTTTTCCGTGACACAAAAAATCCCAAACTTGTACACGCATTACACATTTACCCTCATTCAAAATTCCGTCAATGAAAACCGTTAAAAATTTGCCCACATGGACGCCAAAAAACAAACGATGTTGACATGGCACCCATGTGACCTAAGTGAGATAAAAATGACATTGTTTTGGCTAAAAAATCATCTGACGGAAGGTGAATATGTCGCATAGGTACAAGTTTATGATTTTTTATGTCACAAGAAAAAGTTTAGGGTAAATGTGTAACGGTGGGCATAGTTTGGGGTTTGTAATGTCACGAAAATATTTAAAATAAATGTGTCACAACTGATATAATTTGGGATTTTTTTTTATGAATTTTTCCCTTTTTATGTTTTTTTATTTGGTGGGCAGACAAATTGGTTGTTTGGGCACTTATAACCTATGATAATAGAGGGTTCAGGAGAACTAGAGCTCAAACCGATTCGAGTCGAGTTCAAACTCGTGCACGAGATATATCGAGCCTAACTCGAGCCTATGTGATGCGTTTACTTTCGAAAGTCAAGCCCAGTCAAGCTATAAGCATATGAATACTCCTAATGTTTGGAGTTTAGGAACCGCCATATATATCGACACAAGATCGAGATTATAATAGACCGAACCGTGACTAACACAATCAAAGTTGAACAATCAAATCGGAAACGACACGGTAACGTAATTCGAAAACCAAAGTCATTGTTAATCCAGTAGAAATTTCATGGAATGTGCTCATTGGACCTCGCCTTCTCGAATGCATTGCTCATCTGCCAAAGCTTTTGCTTTGAACTTGGGATATACCATCGAAATGGTTTACGTGAACACCTGGCATCATTAGCATAAACCCCGGCTTGTTCTAATCACACTTGGCATCTTATAATGTTTCTAATTTTTTTGAAAGTTGATAAGGAAAAGACATACTAAGGGTGTGTTTGTTTAGCGGAAAATGAATGATTTGGAAAATATTTTCTTAAAAATGATCATTCGTATCGCTTACAAGAATGAACAAACGAACGAACGAAAATTGTTTTCATTGTCCATGAATATGCTTAAACATAAATTTTTGTCGATAATGAAAATGTTTTTCATTGACAAATTATTTCAAACGATGCAAACGATTATTTTTTGGAAGAATATTTTCTAAATCATTCACTTTCTGCGAAATAAATGGGCGCTTAATTAAATATGGTGGATCTTACGTTAGTTCGATTAACGTTGCAACGCTCAGCACCTAACAATGTTGACTTGCGGAGTAAGATAAGAAGACTTGTGGAAGGAGATATGCATTGACCACGTCTTCGTTGCGAAAAACGTCATGGCGATTCCAATGGGATGACGAGAATACCCACTAAGCTCTAACATGTATCAGCCAACAAGCCTCGTCTAAAAACGATGTTTGTGGACTCGGGGATTAAGAAAACACTTATTGACTCGACGAGAGTCACGACGAAGCAATGGAAAATTAACGACGACGAGCCAATGAGGGCACGACGCTTTTGGGTCAAGTCTATTGTTACGAATGAGACCTAATTCGACGTGTTCGGAAAACTTGCGCTTCGTGCTCTTAGAATAATCGGCAAAACGACGGTGGCATTTATTAAAATCGATTAGCCAGCATGGAAAAGTATGACTGTCTATGTTAGCTTAGCTAGGATTGGGAAGCGGACGATAGAGCGAGCGCGATTGATGTTGAGGTACAACAACAGTCCAACATGGAGGGGGTCCAAAATTTTTATGGCATATGACAAAGAGGGGACTTGACCGAGGTTATCGGTTTCTTCAAGAAATGTGCTGTTGACTCGTTGATGTTGGGGGTGTAAGTAAATAAAGATTTGCGGAGTCAGGCAATTGAGCAAAGGAGGTTTGTGTGAGAATGGACTCTCGAGAGATTTCGTACGTGTGCTGAAAGATTATTTGGTTTTGGGATTGAGGTTTTTCGAAGTTAGTGAGTTGATCGATATCTTAAATTTATCCCATCAAAAATAAGACACGTTTTCAATGGTCGAGACGTGTCCTTTTCTTTTCCTTTCTTTCCCTTTCTTCCCTTCGTTGTTGCCCCCACTGGTTGTCGTGTCGAGGCCATTGCCAACCCCGCCATTGTGCACAGCCTCTCTCTCTCTCTCTCTCTCTCTCTCTCAAAGGTCATGATCATGTGGACCGAGCAACCTCGAATCCGAAGTTTCCAGTGGTTGTGACGTCTTTTAGGGATGTGAATCAAGCTGAGAGAGAGAGAGATAACATGCCTTAATAGATTTATCTCAAATTGGACTCACATTTGCCAAATAAATGACATCGAAAGATCAATTAGAAAAATATTCATCGTCACAAACAATCATAACATGCTTCACAAGTGAATGAATATTTATACATAAATATAAGTAAATTTTAGCTAATATAACAATCATAGTTATATAATGTTTTTTTTTTTTATAACCGAGGTGTCCGCGCAGCCGGCGAGCTAGGGCTCAAACCAGCGGTGATGCCCGACTAGTCCTCGAGGGGAGCTAGCGCAGCATCCCACCGCCACGACTCCCCACTTAAATCACCGATGGGCGAGTTTGAACCCAGGACCTCTCGTGAAAGGAACTGAGCGCAAACCAACGCGGCCACCGATGGGTGGGTATAGTTATATAATGTTTATAGGGAACAAATATATATTTTTGATATATGACACAATTCACATATTTAATCAATAAACATAACTAATTGCATAATTAGTGACGACTTTTATGATTAAATACATAATTAAAGTTAACTCTAATAAGATAATTGTTTAATATTTATACTTGAAGTTGCACGTTAACGAGTAAGTAATTTTGACTCCAAAAAAAATGAGTAATTAAAACAAAATCAAGTGCCGGTTACTTTGATTTATTTTTCAGATATGATAAATAAATTACACAAGAAAGTTCCAACTAGTTTATAGTTGATGAAGATAATTCCTATCACTTTATAATTGTTAAGAATAAACTCTAAATTAAGGATTACAGTAAGTTTTTGAGTGAGCTTTTAAAGAAGTTTCAGTATTGTCTGGATTTCGACGAGTCTAGAAGAGATTATCACGATAGAGTATACTTTAGTTATCACCTACTTTACAGCTACGTGAATTGAAATCAACAAGGAAAAAGTTATTGTGACCTAATGTTGCTCCACCAAGAAAGATAAGATAAATAAATAGTAATTGACATCTGATTAAATTAGCTGCATTTAGTAATGTTAACCAAGACTTCATGTTGTTAATATTTTATCATAGGTGTCACTTCTTTGAGATATATCATTTATATGGTTATATGTTTTGACATACTGGAATTATTTTAAATCATCAATTAGCATAATGGTGATTTTCGTATATCTTGAATCATTTTTTGTTTAACTAGTATCCCTATTCCAAAGCATATTCTTACAGAAGCGACAAGTTCAGACTATAATCTGCATCGCTCTTTTGAATATATTTAATTGAAATTTTATTGGAACTCCTTAGACAATATTTCACGCTCCCTTTCATTTGATATCAATTTTTTTTCATAAATGTCAAAGTTTGGCGTCG